AGCCGAGGTCTCTTCGGCACGGTCAGTTGCTATGTGGATCGTTGATTGCGGCCCGAACATCGATGAATGGATGTTGGCGAAGTTGTCGTTCCGAAAGCCGTCACCATGATGCGTAGGCGTTGTCAAGGCCGCGGTCCCCATCGCCTGCCTGGCAGTTTCGGAGGCAGGGCATGAAGAAAATAGCTGGATGTGCGGAAAGTGGAGAAGTGGTCACCGCTTTCGGTTTGCGCCAATTGCTTCGTTACTGTGTGGCATTCTTACTGAAGAAATCATTTATCCGGCTCTTACGTGCAGTGGCCAGTCATGAAGTTTCCGACATGCGGAAAATACGCCTTTGGAATAAGATTGCGGGAGTTTCAACTCTGTTTGTCGTACCAGCCCAGGAACACAAAACGATTTTCCATTTCTAGAGCGCAGCTCTTAGGCGCCCGTTTCCGGCTTGAGCGGTGTCGGCGTCGCCGTCGGCGTCATCGTGAGGTTACGTGACCCCCCCGAGGTCATGTGACCCCCCCCAAGGTCACGTGACCCCCCGAGGTCACGTGATTCCCAAGGTCACGTGACCCCCCCCCCCCCCCCCGAGGTCACGTGACCCCTCCCCCCAGTCACATGACCTCCCCCCCCCGAGAACACGTGACCCTCAGTACCCTTCTCTCCTCCTCCTCAAGAGCTGCGCTCTAATTCGGCGTTATAGGGAGTTGTAAACGGCTTTCATTTTTTATAGCAAAACTATCCTCTATTGCATTTACTTACGTCTGCTGTATGTTGTGTATGTCCTTGCTAGTGTTCCTTTTTGTTTCATTCAGACAGTCAGAACACTCGCACATACTGGCCGCCTGCTCACGCACCTTCATGACACACAGGCCAGAAAAGAAGATCATGACAAATAATACCGAAAAGGTCATTGTTTTTTTAGCGCATTGTAACAATTTTAGTGTGAAATAAAGGAAAATATATATATTTCATTGTTCGAAGAGACGTTGCAAAAGATTAATATTTGTATTCAGACAAGCTAATTGAAAACAGCTGACAGCTGCCCCTAACGCTAGGGGCAAAATGTCCAGGTGTCGCACCATATTGTTAGACGTCGGCTGCAAGTCTTGTATAGTTTGAATTTGGAACCACTTAAAAAAAGTTACGAACTTATCATCTAATAATCTAATACACAAAAACTGAGGGACACACGACGAAAGAAATAAATTAACATACAACACGCAAACCACTTAGAGCTTGAGCTGTCTTGTGTGCATACCCTTCAAGACACAGCGCAAACACGACTTGGGATCTTCTGTGCATTTTACTAGAGGAGGACAGCTACAAACACAACATTATTTCATTTAATTTGATTCTCTGCAAGACCACATTTCACCACATATGTTTTCTTCTTTTTTTACAACAGCCTTTTGGTGGTTAAAATAACCCCCCTTTCTCCCCCCTTTTCCCTCCAACAATAAAGAAATGAAAGCAGCGACCGCTTCTTTGGGATAAAAAAGTTGTGCTCTGCTCATCTTTTTTTTTTTACTTTTTTTTATGGGCGTGAAAGTAGAGTAATGGTTTATCCAATAAGGGAGGGGGGGGGGGGAGGGCCTGCACCCGCACACTTGTATCAGTCTACGAACTTTATTTTTTGGTAACCTCGAAGAAGAAAAGGGATGTCTCTTTCGGCAGTAAACATAAGGACGTGTCCTGACACATGAGAGCTGAATCTTGGTTTACGACCTATAAATACGTAGCCGTGTTTGCATTTTAAAAGGTGACAAAAACTAATTTCGCAAATGATTGATTTGCAGATACACTTCACGAGTTGGTAGTTTTGGAAAGTCTTTTTTTTTTTTTTTACACCGATTGTATTGCATTGCGATATCTCGTGGGGTCCTTCGAATGTGAAAACGTGATCCATAGGAATATTATAATAAAATGAGCTTGTTGGTATCATAGACAGGACTGAGCGGCGTGGGGGGTTACGATTATTAGCCTACCTCTTTTCCACAGGAGGCACATCGTGGGACAATAATTTTCAGTGCTCGCAGGCATCAATACAGCGTTACTATAAAGCGCATACAAATTATTTTGTTGGCGATCCACGCATTCAGCGAAAGGCAGACACACAAAGCGGTCTGAGCCACCTATCTTAAATGTCAATAGCAAGACGTGATAATGCCATTGCAAAGACCGTTAGCATGTTTGAATAAAAAAAAATTCCAAATTTTTATTTTATCTTTTTGAGCCCAAAAAGGGCGCCTTTCTTTTTTAACATCGAACTCGCCAACTGAACGCCAAGAGCCTTAAGGAATTGATAATTTCCAGGAGTTCAGAGAGCACCTCAAAGGAAACAAGCAAGACTCGGCAAAACCAGCTCCTAAGTCAGTCTTAAGAACTGCGCAGGCCTTCTACAGGATGTTCTCAAACGATGTATTCGAAAGTTAAAAAATGTCGTATATAAAAGAAACAATGAAAGGAGTGCGTTGAAACTTTTCACAAAGATGTCTTTAGATAGCGCATTTATCATGCTCATCTGTTCTGTGTGTATGTTTTAAGAAATTAAACTAAAGCGCCCCCGAAAAAAACGTGGTTTTAAGCACAGTAAACTATACAGCAAAAAACGCCTAGTCGACACTGCTACTCGCAGATGTTACTCCACAAACTCGTATCTGCTTAATCAAACGGTTTTTGCCGTCTACCTCCATGTTCAAAAACATTTTTTTTTTATTAACTTTTTTTAAACCTACACTCAACATGTTTGAGTATGATAAATTCACCACCAAAAGACACCTTTGCGAAAAATATAACTTCAGTCAGTTCATTAATTTATTTGCACCGATTTTTTAACACCCGAATAACGCTCGAAAACGTATGGGTAAAGGCGTGCTGGGTTTTCAAAAAACGACTTTGGTACATGTTGCTATAAAATAAGACGCCTGTCAAATTAATAGCGGTGCTTCTGTGTGCGAGCTTTAGTCTAAGATTTCAATTATAATTCAGTCTAGTTATCTCATACTCGACCCAGAGATGATGTTATTCTGCAATTGATTCGGCGCTTGGGGGTTTCGGTGGCGGCTACTGAAATATTTCCTTTGGTGCGCTTCCACTTCTAAAGTGTGGTGCATGATATTCCGTGGTCTTGTGACCCATTGATATGTGACGCATATTGTTCTACACGTCTTCGTTTCTAGACTAACACCCCATGTTCTAAACACTCCAGCCCCGGCTGTGACTGATGTTAATATTAGTTTCCGCGGCGAGCTCTCCTCGAATTTGGTCGTAGTTCGTCTGAGCTATTTCGCTTAGACTGTTAAGTTGTGAACAGTATGTTTTCGTTGTAAAAGTTTCTATAAAAGTTTTCGTTAAACAAAAACAAACCAAAAGAAATCATACATTCAGACACACTGACAGAAACTACATTGCTCACGTTGCAAGTTGCAGAATATGCCAACAACAACATGCTGTTCTCGGTGTCTCTGTGTTATAATTTTTCAGAGAAATCATTTAATTTCGCAGAATTTTGGTCTCACAAGTTTAAGAAGCGTCTTAAAGATTACATTTTGCTATCGAGATAAATATCCTGAACAAAAGTCTAAGTCTTAGTCCCCTTTAATATCATAATATGTTTTTCCCTGAATAATACAGTTACAACGCTTTCCTCAAACAAATAACGGAACAAAATTCTAATATGTCACAAACAGTGCAGCAGAAACCATACATTTTTCTTATTATGCTAAAGCAGCACTTCTATTTTCCAATGTTACGAGCCTCAACAAACTCGATACACTAAAAATTCAACACTTAAGAACGTGATAGGGGAACTCTCTATTGCTTCAATACGAGTATCACCTTTCAGAATGCAACTATACATTAACATGCAGTTAATACATTTTTTTTACAAAATAAATTTGTCCCCCCTAGTTCGTACATATTGTACATCATCGACGGTCTCGTCTGACTTATTTATTCCAATCAAAGTCAAATCATGCTGTTTTTCCCTACAAATCACCTCTTTTAAAGGAAATATAAGTGATTCAATTTAGCATTGAACACCGTTGCCTTTTGTAGATATAAGATCAATCTTAGCCTATAACGTTTTACATAAAGAAAAAATCGCGACCAAGATGACTTTGATGGCGCCTCTAATAAAAGATTCCCGAGTAACACTACGCTCAAGACGATTCTCAATGCATACTAGCTGCCCCGACCTACACTCGGAAATCCAATCACCGGAACGGCAATCGACGGTCATCGGTAATGGTTAGTGTAGAAAATGTGATTTTATCAGAGCGTTTTTGATATTTTGTTACGTTGTCGACAGTAACTATAGATGTATTTCTACTGTAAAGCGGCATCAAGACCTCGTCGGAGCACCTGGTATTTTGCCTTGATGCTGCAGAGCATCTGTATTGTCCAAAAGAAACGAAAACAAAAAAACAAGCCGCTCGCCCAAGTGGTTCTGTAGTAGTTTCTGTGTCGAAAGGTCATCCACATCTTTGTCCACTGAGCTCCCATGGATATCGGCGCATAATATCCATTTATTTTCTCACCGGCCAAACGAATTAAATAAGGGCCAACGATTCGTATTCCTATACTGGATCGCCATGACGCACTAGCTAAGGGCGACCCCTCCAAGATAACGAGGCTGAGGTGCCGGAGTTTACAGGTCCCCTCCAGGAAGCCCCCGCGGGTTACAGATGACACACGAGTGCTGTGTCAGCCTTCGGCTAGAACTAGTGTTCTCATTGGCTGAACACAAGTCTCTGCCGAACGTTGACGCAAGACTCGTGTTCAATTAAGCAGAAAAAGATGAAGTACAAATTCCTAGACTACGGTTTTGTTCAGGAAGTTGTCGCTCAGGAACGTCTGAGAGCCCATTTGCATCGCTTATCAACCACGCAAACAAAGTGGTGAGTCATCGGGAGGAAACCTACAGTGCATGCCAAAAGCGTGTTCCACAACGGAAGCGCCCGAAACGGTCTATTATCGAAATGGTCTTTATACACAGACGTCTCGCTCACCTGCGTCTTCTCGAGGGCTTCCCTGACGTAACCGATGTCGAGGGCGATCTCGTTGCGAGCGTTCACGAAGTCCTCGAAGCTCCGCTGGCACTCGCGCTCCAGGAACTTGCAGTAGGCCAGCGCCAGGTCCTGCTTGGGCAGCTGCACGATCAGCTGCCGGTCCCGGTACTTCTCCCCGGGCGTGCCCAGGCGAGGAACCTTGTGGTTTGGCAGCTGAGAGAAGTACTCCTCGATCTGCACATGCCGACACAGGCCGGGCGTCAGAAGAGGGAAGGACACTTGAGTACAGTAGAAAATGAACCAGAAGATATAGAGCAGAATACTTCTGTTCTAAGTATAAAATATATGTCCTCGACGCTTAACCCGCGTGCTTAAAATACAGATGAAACACGCAAAAGTACGCTTTTTTGTCGTTCTTTTACGAAATAAATCTTTAATTAGACGAACTATGTAACAGAAAGTTCACGATCAACCAAATATTTATGCCGTGAATCACAATTAAATGGTCATCTTCACCAATTATTTATTTAATAACGCTCAATTATCTTTATTATTACCACATGAATCATAGTAAAGTTAACATAGTCCTCGACATAAACGTTGTCTTGGTGTTGCCTTCAAGAGTCCAAATAATTAACATAATGAAAATGCTTAGCTCTGGAGCGGCAACGTCTCAGAGACATATTTGGCCTGAATTATTACCTATATAGCTGTCAGTCCGTAATTAAGAGCCTGCACAATAAAGTAGCGAAGACAGTGAAGGAGAGGGAAAGCTTAAGACCACCGCAAAAAAAAGGAAAAAAGAACGGTAAGATAGCTTTTTGTTTAGGCACCTGGGAACTTTTCTTTTCAATTCAAAATTCTTATTTATTTTTTTCTTCCTTTTTTTTTTGCCTTAGCCAGGTGTGCGGAAGGATGCCTGCCCCTAGCCAATGCGTCCCTCATTCACTTTTCTGATTCCGAAAGAATGTCATTGCTGGTAACGAAGCACGGCAAATATGAAAACATATTTAAAGCTCACGAATAAGACCTCCTTCTAAAGCTCCATATAAGAGATTAAGTATTACATGCTAATACGAACGAAGCGAGGCATCTAGCGTAATCGCCACAGGCTGGGGGTGACAGGAACGCTCCTTATTACGGACACGTAAGATTGAGATGGAGAATAAAACATTTATTGCTCCTTCTCGAAATAGCTGCTCTTTACGAGCCGTGTATCGGCACCTTATTTCGGCGCGAGGTTGCCATCGGAGACGGAGCCGATTGCCTCTCATGACATGGGCAAGACCGAAGAAGACGGCCGACAAGAGACAGGTCAACAACCAGGACGTCCCCAGAACCGGTCGCAATTGAAATTTGTTGGAACCAATGCAGGTCGGGTTAAAAATCAACTGTTTCCGTTGATTTTCATAATTATGAATTTATTTACTAGGGTTGTGGATTTGTAGTATACGCCAATAAACACCTCAAGTAGATTGCCCCGATTGGATTTTATGAAACTTGGAGGAAACCGAAGAACACAGAGCTGGAGCTGATCTAGTATGAAGAACACCCAGGGACATGGGAAAATATTTTTATCTACAAGTTGATTTTGTGTTTCGCCGGAACATAGCCCGCACTGAACTGTCCGCGAGACTGCTTTTTTTAATTTAAAAACCTCGGCTCCTGTCCCGTCTTCTTTTTTTTTTTTTTTCATTTACAGTTCAAGTGTTTGGGTCATGCGCGTGTTCTTTGGGAGTTGGGGAAGCCCATGCCTGTGTTATAATTTCGTCAAATATGCCCCGATAAACGCCTATTTTTTACTGGCACCAAAAAATTATACCTAAAACCACAGAAACTGTTACAAAAATACCCCCGCCCCCACCCCAAAAAAAAATTTAAAAACAATTTTAAAAAATGTTAACTTTAAAAAAAACTAAATCCTATAGATAACGCAGAAAAAAAAAAACAAATTCGAATTACATATTACGGGCATTTCAAACTGAACACTCAAAATCACAAAACAAAATGTCTTCAATTAAATGCAAAGGTGCAAGCGAACTGGACAATAATGACGAAATTAATCCCTGAAAAAGGCGAAAAAGAGTTTCTGTTTGCCCTTTGTCCCTCTTGCTCTCCTTCTACAGGGATTATTTTCGTCGTGTCTTTAAGTTGCTTTGGATCTCCTCGCTAGCATCCCAAATGAGACAAGTAAAAGAACGAATACTGTAATTTTTTTTTTCAGGGATTCCAATTAATTTTTATTGTGGATTTGATTTCATTACTACTATATTTTTATTAACTGACGAAATCAGAGAGAAAAAAGGCGATTTCCTACAGCCCCCTAATTAAAGAAGACATTTTAAGGCAGCTACAATCTTGGCTCCACAAGATATATGAAACACTGTTCAAACCAGGATCCTCATCGTTGAATCTTAAATTCTTGTACAGTATCCAACTGCGCGAACAAGTGCTTTGGTCTCTTCGGTGCTGTGTAAGGACCACTGGAGCGATTCTCCTCTGATCGTACAGCATTAGTTTGTCCTCATTGCTTGCGTGGCACTCCGGGATAGCCCTTCTCAGAGGCAGCCTTCGCTTTCCAAGCTGCCTCGAATCCAAGATGCCGGCGATGAGTAAACGCAAATAATAAAGGCGCCGTTGCACTTGCGGATTTGCAAGCGGATCAGCGCAGGCTGAAAGGTAATTTCGAAACCGGGTGGAAAAGTCGGGTCACCGCTAGCGGAAAATATAGACATGGGTCCCGGACTGATCCAGAATTTCCGCCAGCGACCATTCGATTTCGCCCCCGGCTCCAAAATCCACTTTCCGTCTGGGCGGACCCGCCCGCGAATCCGCGAGTGTGAATGCGATCATCCGCGTTTTCGCGTCGCTGGCCTTACGTCTGCTGCAAGAATGGAAATTTTAGCGCACCCTCGTGGTTTGGACGTGATTTAACTCGTTCTAAAATTGGCTGATTTAAGGGTTTTCGATGACACTCAGCAAGTTTCTAATTAGAACCATGTGTATAGTTTCACAAATGAATAAAATATTTAGTGAGTTTTAGGTAATTATTTAGCTAATTAGTAAGTTTTTTTGTTTGTTTTTTTGCACTCCCTGACGCTTTTTATGACTGGAAGTTTGTTCCCGAAAGAGTTTCCTTTTTTTCTTAAATTTTTTATTTTTGGAAATAATTGAAAGTTTTCGTAGAAACACCCGGTATACGACGTCCAGTCAATATAACGCAGAGTACCGCACTGCAAACAAGAGGACCATAAATATCAGTCTTAACGACAAGAAAAAAACATTTGATCAGCACGTGAATACTCCACATGCCGAAAGTGAAGCACAATGTTGCACAACATTATTTCTATGTCACGACCCACGTTTCACTTTGACTACAACATTGGCAACGGAACAGTACTGATTCGATGGTAGGAGCGCGCGTCTATTGGGGAGGAGATCCCGTATGGAAATCTTATATCTGGGCCATATCTGGCCATATCAAACATTATATGATTATATACGGCCTATACACAGCCTTATCTGGCGTATATACAGACTTATCTGGCGTATGTACAGCCTGATAGGGCATATATACAGTCTTATCTGGACTATATACAGACTTATCTGGCATATATACAGCCTGATATGGCTTATATACAGACTTATCTGGCGTATATACAGTCTTATCTGGCGGCCGGTTTTCAGTATACTAAAAAGTTAAAAAAAGTTTTAAAAAAATTCTTTGTTATAAAACTCTGAATGACTCACTGTTCGCGAGCTAAATATTATCACAAATAATCCCAAACTTGAGCTTGACAAGTTTGAGATTATTTGTGATAGTTTTCACGAGGATTTCAATGTAGCTTAATTATTTCAAAGTGTTAAAATTACGCCCGAATAGACAATTTGCTAAATCACCCAAGCGCCTCGGCCCGTACTCCATAGATCATGGGGACGGTTTTTCTTCAGCTGCCTAGTGATCGAAAATTTTGAGCAATTCTATAATTACACAGATTTGAGTGTAATTCGGAGTCACCCTGAACACGTACCGTACAGAACCCAAATACCTGCCATACCACTTTTAAAATGTCCCGCCAATGTCAGTACTGTGCATTCCGGCCAACCTACAACCTGGATGGGCGGCAGACATATTTTTTACATTATTGTCATTCTCGTACAGCTTCAAAAACGCTGATATTAAGTTAGAAACGCTAAACATGTCATAAACAGCTCCGCTGAATCCGAGCTAAATCCCTGTTTTGGTTGTTGTGATTTATCGACTTTTAAGTAATTCCTGCTAAAACAACAATCACGAGAATTATAATATGGTAAGAGATTTCGGCTGCTCAGCGCGGTTGAAGGTTGGAAAGAATGCACATTATCATAAACGCTGCCGTTGACGAGAAAATTTAAAAGTGACATGACAGGTACTTGAGCCCTATGGGACGCTTGTTCAGGGTGTCTACCAATTACACTCGAAACTGTGTAACCGTGGAATTGGTCAAAACTAGCTATCACTAAAGGATCACCGTTTCCATAACTCCTCGAGTGGAAGTCTGACAGTTGGGAGAATGTAGACAATAAAAAGATATAAAGTGCTGATTTCAGGCTTGTGTTTTTTTTAAATGCTTGGCCAGATCTGGAATTTCCTTACTTAGCCAGATCTGGGATTTCCATACATCAGGCTATATCTGGCATTATGAGGCTATATCTGGCAGATATAGCCTCATGGGCTATATCTGTAGAATCTCATAGGATCAGGTTATATGTGGCCAATTTTTGATATGGCCATACCTGTAATCTTCAGATCTGGCCAGATATAAATTTTTTTGTAAGGGATCGAACAGTCACGCCTCTAGCGGTAGGCTCCAGCTGTGTGGTCAACAAACCAAAATTTCTTCTTCGTTGCTGATCAAAGAAATCGAAGATGACAATTCGAAGGCCGCTCCTCGTGTGACTAGAGCACTGGTCAGAGCGAAGCGCTCGTGCTCAGACCGTGCTAGGCGAGGTTTAATTGCTTTGTTATGCTGTGTCAGTAAACACAAGGCTATGGGGATGACATCATTAGTAAAGCGCCCCCTATAGTTCCATGTCCTGCCCAATAGGGGCGGCCAAAAGGTTACCGTCTTGTACTCCGTTTTTGTAATATTTCCCTAGGCCTTAAAATATAATTCCCTAATGAGTGGTAGCTGGATCAAGTCTAGATTGGCTTTTGCGCGCTGGCTTTACACGACGTAAACCTTCGTACAATGGCAAAATAAAATTGAAACAAAAGCTGCGCTTTATGTCCTTTCTGTTTTCTAGAACGCAAAACTTGAGAGTATTTTAAGTAAACGTGTAATATTGTTTGTGCCTAAATAATAAAACATGTAGGCTCCTCAGCTTTATAAAACGGACTTAGCAATCGAGGCAAAAGGGACGTATCCACGCTCTGTAACATATTCTGCTGAGTTCAATAAGCCCACAGGGTTGTTGAAAGTCGCCGTGGTGTCGTTCGTCGTTCGGATGTTTAATGGGCTCGGCCAACACCATCTTGACTCGAAAGGCCTGTGACCTCGCATTTTGACGCCCGCCCACTACGGACAACTGAAGGCCACCGATGGGTCTCGAGCGCTGAGTCTGCGTTCGGCCTGGATTCGTTCACAATCATTGCGTCGACAGACGCTTGACGTAGGATTGAGAGCGCCGACTTGGAGCCGCCGTATAGTGTAGCGGACATTTTTCAAAAAGGTTTCTGCACACGCGCAAATCTTTCTCGCACAGCGGCGAAAGCTTAAACTTCGCTCGGCGTTCGAAAGAATGTTTGCACTACCTCTCCTGCCTCTTCTGCGACTCCGATCAGCCGTAGAGAAGGCAAGAAAGGTATCGCAGCTCCCATTCTATCCTCCAACCGTACTTGGAGCTTTAGCCACCTGGTGTCGTCTTTATGTGAAAAAGGGCCATTATGTTTCATTTAAAAAAAAATATTTTTTTTTTGGGAGGGGGGGAAGTGGGGGGGGGGGAGGGCGGGGGTGGATCCATGCCAAAACCAGGAAGGGATCAGGGACGCTCTAGCGGAGGACAGAGGATTCACTTCGATCATCTGAGAATCTTTCGACGTGCAGCCGTCACCTCACTTACACGGTGCCTTCTCCGCAATACGCCTCCGTCAATTATTTCCAGCACATCGGCTGAAATTTAAACACCATTTAAACAAAACAAAACAAAACAAAAAAATTAAATGATTGTGTTTTTATTTGTGTAGTTTGTCCTGGCTCATCAGACAATAAGCTTGTAGGTGTTAGGCGGCATTCGCTTATTCGTGCAGGAGAATATCTAAACATGTACATGTATACTGAGCACGTTACAAAGTTAATTCCTGAGCACGTTACAACAAATATTGGAATAGCATTTCCTTGCATATACCACGGGAAGCCTGCGCGTTAACGTAGCCTTCATAGCCTTGCATTTACATGTGCTTGCCCGCATGTGCAGAGACATGGCGGCGGCCAGATGTCCTGCTTGCAGTCGTCTATACATGTATCCCCCTGAAAGATGGTTACCAAACCAGGCCGCTAGCTAATCTTTTAGTTTCGTCTTTTATCTTCATCTTCAGAAGTCACTTTTCGGTGATGGAGTCACCATTAAAAAGGCAAGTTCAACAAATCGAACAAGCATATAACACAAACTAAACCAGAATAGCTTTTGGCATAATAAAAACGGTATTTTACGGCAGTATTGAGCGTACGAAAGAAAATGATGCCTTATCACAAATCGGTTACGCTCTAACGTAAGAAGTTAGTAGCTAATTGACTGCGCCTAGACACTGAACTGTCAAGCGTATATACTTTCCCACAAACCACTTAAAGGAGCCATGAAACTGCTTTTCTGCTTTCGCTATAAAAACACTTACAATCACTCTTTCAGTGAAATAACTGAATAAACTTGTCTTAGTTTTTCTTTCTAGTCAATGGCAGTGGCCAAAAAATTCGTGAAATATGAGCATCGTTCATCCCCTCAACTCGGAGCCAGAACAGGCGGCCACGTGGCCCGGTGCCTATCTTATGCCGCCAACGTTAATCATAGCCACGGACTGGGGTTGGCAAAGCAAAAAACACGTGCTGGACTCCAGGCATTATTTGAGTTCGGCTATTCTCATCCCTGCAGTGGTTGGACACGAGCCAGTACCCGAGTCTCCGCCGAGGCATTGATTGTTCAGAGCCGAAGTCGCGTACTCAAGCAGTTCTCGTGTCTAGTTCATGAGTCCGGCTCCACTCCCGTCAGACGGATGGTTTCGATCCCACAATTACGCCATCGAGCTTTCCGAGAGCAAGACTGAAGAAAATAGTCCCCTTTTATCCTCGCAATTTCAAATCGACAAAGAAGCTTCTGAAACAGTGGCGGTCTGTACAAGCACAGTTCGGCCAGAGTAGGACCAGTACGCCTATGCCAAGTTACGAACATTTCAACCCGATATCGTTTCATAATCCCCGGGTACACGACAGGATATTTGTGCTAGCGAAGGTTTTTATTTGTACATGCATCTGAGAGCCCAACTAGCCAGAATACAATTCGTTGCTGAAGATTTGTTTTCTTTCCGCCCGAAAACCGTCGATCGGGAATCGTCCGGTTTTAATCGCGCTCACTCTCTTCTACGTGGTCACATGCCGCTCTGTATCGTTTAGACACAACCACCAAATATAAGCAAAGTCGTGGGTATCGAAGGCACGCACTCAATATTAAAAACAGTAACAATATATATATATATATATATATATATATATATATATGTACACGTTGATTGAAAAAAAAAAAAGGTGCACAGCCACGTAACTTTTGGCAGATCTCTTCACCTCCCATATTTCTTCTTCCTCCTCAGTCCAATTCCGGTTTCGGTTTCGAGAAGTTGCGGTTTTTATTTGATTAAACATATACGTGGCGCTGTAGCAAAATATTGATTGGGTAGTCATCTGACACCATAATAAACCGCCTAACCAAAAATTAAAAAAAAAAAAAAAAACTTTTGGGGGTGTTTGTGTGTTTTTTTTTTTTTTTTCTTAAGAGAGCTTATAGCTGGAATTTTTGGAGGAAGCTCGGCGAATGTGGAGGATTAAATATGCTTAAAACTAGGGAAACATACTGTGAAGCTGAGCATGTCGTGAGCATGCGCAACATCATGTTCAGTGTGACAGCGGAGGCATTTTTATTTCCTTCTTTTTACGATCTAAACCTATCTTGAGCCTCGTAAGTTGCCGACCTCGCTTATTCGGAGACTGCAGCGATTGGCCCCAAGAAGTCCCTCGCTGCAAAATACACGGACCAAACCTATTAGAGTGTGGAGTGGTTGCGAGCAATGCAGTAGTCGGTTCCACACCCAAGCCCGTGTGCAGCCGAAGCTACGATTCGGTGGACCCAATCAAGCAGTACCTAAAGTATACATAGTTATGGCGCTGGTCGTCATTGAACGTTAACTTTTTCCGGCTATATCGATCACGCATAGTAAATGTGCCGTGAAACGCCGTTTTTTTTTTTTTTTCTTTTTTTCTCCGTTGTTTGTGATTGGTTTAGCCAGTAACATAAAAGGCACAAAAACGACGAGCGCCGTGGCCATGCACTTTTGGGGCTGCTCGATGACTTCATTCGATCGTAGCGTCGACTCCGCTCGAACTCGGTGTGAATGCGAGTATACTCTACTGTTCTTCCGGTGAGCCGCCTCGGCTACCAGAGCAGAAGGGGAGGGTACAGCACCTTTGCACTGGACAGTCCAGGAGGCACCCAAGAGTACCCTTCTTGCAAGGTCTTCTCCTTTGAGGTCTGGTTGGAAGGGTCCGGCTTGATGCCGATCCGGTCGCGGACGTTGACGAACTCCTCGTGGTACACGTCGTGGGACTCCCGGGGACATTTGCAGTTGTTGCACACTTTTCTGCGACAAATGCGAAAGAAGGAAAGCTTGGCTTAGTGACGGAACGCTGGTGTTATCTAAACGTATACAGACACCAATCCCAAAAGCTGCAAATTCTCCCTTGTGATTATTCGTGAATGTCAGGATGACCCTCGTCGGGGTCGTCGCCCTGATTATATCTCATTTTATTGTGAACTCTGTTTTTTTTTTCTCTTTTTTTTTTTCCGATGGTAACTTGGTGAAAAAGTAAGGCGTAAACACGAGACACGGAGGCGAGACGTGGAAACAAGACGAAAAAACTTTGCAATTGAGTGAACGATATACGGCGTCCCCGTCACCCTCAAAGCATTGCTCTCAATGAGGGTGGTCCACTAGCTTCTATTGGCGTTGACATTGGACTCAGAAGTTTGCGTATAATTCTCGGTACATACATAATAGTGCCGAGATTTGCCGACGCAAGAGAGGTCTCTAAGAATAACAGTTCTTTCAAATGTAACAAAAAAAAAGGTTTTTTATTTTAGTTTTCAAATACTTTTTACACGCGTACATCTCGCGTTCAGAACTGCAGTTTGTGTTGCAGACTCGGCCATTGTGGGATCTAATTTCACATCTTTAAATATCGATACAAACGGCAATTACAGCAGACCGTACACCTCTAATACGTGTTACGGGCCGACGTGAAAATACTAAAATATGAAATACTTGCTGCACCAGGCAAATTACTGGATATGCGTACACAGCGACAAGTCGCAGACTGGCCAACGGCTTGCTCTACAAACATTTATACACGAAAGTTTACTTTTGTCTATGTCCATGTTAGCTCCCTAATGTCGAACAAAACCTTTCTAATACCCTTATTTGACGGGTTCCCTTAGCCGCAGTTACGCCTAAGTGGGCCGGTGTAACAAGGGTATAGGCAACCTGCAATGCTGTTTCCTTCTGGTGCTATCTAGTGACTGGCGCAAGAAACATTGGGTACGCCCGGGACTGGCGGCTCTGTTGTTGAAACGTGAGCTGTTACTCTGGTGACGCCGCTTAGCCTAGCGTCTGAAGCAAGAAATACTGGGTAGGCCAGGAAGCCGTGATCGCATAACATACTAGTACGGTGGAAACTATGTCCCTGACGGGCCAATCGGAACTTGACTACGTATCACCGGAGTGCATATTTACTGTGAAGGAATGTCAGACTTTTCGCTGCGTCATGCTCCAATATGTGTGCGTTGCGTTCGCATACGTGGCGGGTATCGAAGTCGTTGGCACTCAATGTGGGGCTTGTCGTTCACCCTTTGCCAAGTTACATCGAGACAGGCTATAACCGTGGGCTCTCACTCTGCTGGCGCCGCCTAACAGTTGCCGGCTGGCTCTTAGTTCAATTTCATGCACAACACGGAGACAGCTAAACACGGCGAATAACGCATAAATCTCGGCGAATTATGAAACTCAGAATGCGATAAGATCTACAAAAAAATGCGATGTGCACACTGATAATAAGCGAGTCACACGTCATGCTCGCTGTCCCTTTACATGTCACTTTATTTATTTATTTATTTATTTATTTATTTATTTATTTATTTATTTATTTATTTATCTCGTATTTGCAAGTCGAGAATTGTAGTTCGCTGCTCCTACTGTTCGCCGATAAGATTGGCTCTCTCCATATTTTTGAAAAAAGTGAAGTCATAGATATTTTATTTTTAGAATACTAGTTCCACAGCGCCCATCACAAAGCGGTGCTTTCTATTTTTATTTTTTTATCAAAGCGAATAAATATAATTAAATACATCTAAAGCGTTTTAAAATGAGGCGATAAAGCTGTGCTACAACGCCAAAAATAATTGAATGAGTAAATTTGAAAATAGTCACTGTATTTACACGACAGTAAGCTCTTACATAATCTAGTTATAAGGTCGCAATACATCTACTCCAAATAACTATATTCTTCTACGACATAAAGTTTGAGAATTTAACGATTTGACAAATATCGATAATAATGTTTTGAACGAATAGATCATCTCATGCTAACGAAGACAAAGCATACTGCACTTTATGGCAAATTTTCATCTCTGCAAAACATTCCCGAAACCAACTTTGCAAAAAATCGCAAAATAATGAACCCGCGCAAAAAGAGTCTTCTACAGTATATTGCAATGGGCTCCAAGTGACCGGTTTGCACATCAGAGCACATTGGGTTGAATCAAACCATTGTTTAAACCATTAATAGTGCTCAGCTCTAATTTGCAACACGAGCCGCCTCGATGACTTCGCGGGGGAGCAGGACTACAAACGCAGGGCTACAAAAAGAACAGGGTTACAAAAGAAATTTATTATCACTACATGCGGTATATGATCGGCTAAACTTTCTATTAAATATATAAAAAGGACCAGAATTCAGAGACGAAGTGAAAAGAATCAAACGAGACATTAGGCTTTCTTCTCGTCTCTTCTTGTGGGCTGTTTATAAAGGCTCCTTCGCACGATTACTATTACCAAGGTAAGCGTCAAAGAAAATAAAACGCTGGCTGCTCAGAACTTTTTTCGTAGTTTTCAATTATATGAAAGATGCAAATAACTCACGTTTATAGAACTATGTCACCATCAAAATGCATTTTCTTTTTTTTTGCAAAATTTACATTTATCGTCTGTGTGTGAAAAAAAAATAGATAAAAACAATATTCAACCAAAGAAACACTGCGCTCTTTCGTTTTTTTCTTGCTTTTTCTTTTGTCATTGTGCCGTTTTTATTGTTACAGTATCTGACTTGTTAATAGAATTACGAATATTTCCTAAATGTATCCTGTATTTTTAGTGTTCTCTTTTCCTCTCTACAACTTGCATCGAAAATGTGCACCCGTTCTAGGTCTCATCTAGTACGGGAACGTAAACCTACAAACTAAAAAGAAGAAAGAAATCCCCAAACACCCGTTCTTAAGAACAAGCGAATCTAATCCTGGCTAGTTTCATCCTGCCAGACATCGTACACGGCGCCCTTCATCGGATAATGTTCGTCATGCTTCACCTGGACGATCTATCCCACGCGAAAAAAAGTCGCGTAGCTGCTATTTGACGGCGGCTAATGCGAATTCATGGCAGTCATGCCTTACAGCATACTCTGCTACATCCTCGCCATCCTTTGAGAAAAAAAAAAAATCTTCCGTCGCAGTCCCAACCGTTTTGCTTGTTTCCTATAGATGAGAGCAGCAGAGAGGCCAACGAGGCCGCCTGGCGGGGCTGATGAGGTCATAAAGTGACGTTATGCTGCCAAAGAAGAACGCTCCTAACCCCGGTCCACCCGACGATGGACTGCGGCCGACGCTACGAGCCATGCCGGCCAATCCAGCTCTGTGAAAGTGTCACGCGGCTAAGCGCTCAGCATGTTGCGGCGCCCTTTTCGAAAGTCACCTGGCACTCACGTGGCATTGGACAGGCTTCGGTGGCTCGTAGCGGCCGCTACCGTTCACCGTAAGCTGAAACGGAGTGTAGCTGGCCGGGACCGACGGGCCTTGGCACGTCTGCGGCAAGCCCAGGGTTATGAGGGGCATAAGGGAAGCCTCGGCTACTTTCAGCCAAATTGGGTGGCGGCTCCCCGGGGCCAAATGCTAGCTTTAAGAATTCAGGAAGGCCAGGGAAGAAGAAAAAGAATGAAAGACCATGTTGGCGACCCTCGCATTTTCAAGTGATTTGGCTTCGAATAAATAAGTGGGCAGAAATATTAGTCAAAAAGATGCCCTTCAAAATGTTTTTTTTTTAACCAACTTAATGGGGTTGTTTTCTTGCCTTTAATGCAGTAGACAATAAAAACACACGTTTCAAGACAATCAATTTAGTTATAATGGTAAGATTTTTTTTTTCTAGAGTTCTTCACAAGCACCAGGTACACGCGCTAAATATACAATATACGCGTTCAACAATATTTCACGAGCATAATGCGAGATTCCATAATGCCTAACGCAGAATGTCATTAACCCTCCAACCACACATGAATTACAAAGTTATACAGCTTTTGTATAATGTACGGTGGAGTATCAATAATTTTGATTTCCGCAACCAAAAAAAAAAAAGCCTTCAGGTAACGAAAATTTCCAGACTTCTTCGGTGCAAGACCGAAAATGGGCCTTTCCCGGAACAACACACTCGGCGCCATCTATCGGCCAATTAGTGAGCGTTTTTGATGGACTTTTGATACATTTTGACCATCTATTACGCATTTCATATTGTTGCATAAGAAGGCGGAACAACCTTGCGGCGTTTTGTAATTAGAACGCAGGTGCCGCCCTCGCCTCCACGTCATTACTCACTGTTGGTACCTTCCAGTTAGCTCCATCAAAACCGGCGGACGGCGGCTTCTTCCACCACTAAGCGAGCGCATAATCAACCCCGGTAGAGGCTCATTGCGCACCCCCCTAAAAATGTCGTAATTTTGGATTCCAACTTAACATCGGGTATTTCAGGCTTATCTCGGTTCCTTAAGCACCAGTGAGTGTCCCACCGTAGGAACAGTATACACTGTTTCCGACTAAGGAGCATAAGTAAATCCTTCGCAATAACTCCGATAGCGATACCCGATACTCCCCCAGAGCCCTAGAGCACGCATAGTAGCGTTATCGGGTATCGTTATCAGAGTAATCAGCACAATCTACAAAAATACCCTGCTTATATTTCGTTTCAACTCAAGTCCAAGACGCAGCCGACGCTGCAAGCAAATGCATTTAACCAAGCAGCGTCACAAGCGCGCGTCACTGGGCCTTCTCTGTTTATGATTGCTTCAGCGATGATAAAACACGCAAAGAAGCAAGACGAGCACCATAACGGCGCGTCCTTCTCGCTGTCCGGTTGATCCCATACTCGAAGCTTTAACTGCGTCTGGACCTAAGGTGAAACGAACTATAGTCCGAGCAGTGAAGATTGCTGGACGAGTTGGTGCTGGACATACAAAAACGTGGCAGCGCTTGAGACTAGGACGAAGGAAGAGACTGGACAACTCAGCGATCGGTATTTGTCCGGTGAATTCCTTTGTCCTCGCG